AAATTTCGGTTGCCAGTTGAAAATGTGTATTTTTTTGCTGTATGACATGTACTAGTATATAATAAATAGGTGTAAGCAACACACAATTGGTAAGTATTTTTTGTTTGTGCCTTATTTACCTTAAAGTCGTATTGCTATGAAATAACATATAAATAGTAATACATATAAACATAATTTATAATGGTCTGTGTACCCAGATTTTTCGTACTATTTCATTATGTGCTAGTATATAAAACCTTAAAATATTGTGTGTAAAAATACATTTATTTTACATTGTTTTTATAGTCTTATTTTCCTTAGTTCCTTTTTCGGATTGATGTGAAAAACATAAGATTAATAGCTCTTAAATTACTTAATTATTAACACTTACTAAATAAATATCCAAATACATAAACAATTTTATAAATGTTGAATATAGCACGCAATCATGTACAGACAAATAATTTGAAATCAAATTTTTGCACCCTGAATTTTTCTTATGTAAATACGGTCAAGCCAATACCAACGGGGCTACTTGAAATGTGTTTTATCTAAATTTGTATTTGTAGTGTAGTTATAGGGCAGACTTTCAGCTATTGATTTTACAATGATATGTTTTCATGATTTTTATATTTGTGTCTGGACCCACGAAGTAGCGAAGTAACATGTTTAAAAACAGAGTTTAAAATTTTAATTTTCCTAAATGATATTACAGTGGTTATAACTTAATGACTCACTCATTAACATTCAATTTGATTTGAGTAAAAAAAAAATAGTATCTTCGAAAACTGGTTGAGCTTATAACCGAAAACTATTCATTTTTATTATTAATAAAGTTGTTTTAGAATAAAACCAGCATTATTAAAAAACTGTTAAAAATACAAACCATTTAAATTTTTATGTCACTCAAATTGTTGCCGAAAAAAAAGAATGCTTTAGGAGGATTTTATATTATCGTGGGAGACCTTGTATAAGTTATGAGTCAGTAAGCAACGTGTGTGGCAAAGTTCATATCTTAAATACATTTTTTTTTCTGAAAATGTACACCGACTTTACTTTTATAGTCAAGTATGAAAGCCAAAGGTGCTGATTTTTGTCTAACACAAGTTGTTTTGAAATCCATATTTTGTTATTCATGGTTTTAAATAGGTTTTCAAAATTATTTTACAGTTGCATTACCAAGTTTCGAATTCTTAAGTAATGTTTATACTAAAAATTATAAATTTATAACATTATTATTTATTTTCTTTTAAGCCCATTTGACCGACAATTCATCTACATAAACATAGGACACTATATGATTACCACCCCTAGCATTCATTTTAGTTCTAAAAAATAATAGTAATAGTTAAATTAGTTGTATTATATTATTGATTATATCCATGTATATTTTGTAGTAAAATTCTTAATCTACAATTAAGGTATTATACATGTAAGTTCAATTTTATTTTAGTATTTAGTTTAATGTTATTCATATTAGCACTTTTTAGGTGTGCAACCAAACAGACAATCTTTTAATCACAATTTTTAAAATTTTAACCTTTTTTTCTCTATTACACTGTTATAGGTACGTGATAAGGTTTAACTCTATTAGAAGGTATTTATAGCTGTTATAATTCATAAATATATTATATTTAAGTAATTAAATTAAAAGGTTTAGAATACAATCAAATATTCGTTAATATAATAAATCTTTACATTCTAGTTTTAACATGATGATAGAAACAATTTTTTTTAAATACCGCCTACGAATATCGTCGCAAGTTTATGTTAAAAAAACCCCCATTAAGTGTAGATGAAGTGTACATGCTCAATTAAGTAAACAATTTTTGGCCACGTATGGTTGTCGGCTAAAAATTTGCTTAGTACAAATAATAAAAGTGTTGCTTTTTTTTTTAAATAAATTATATTTTAGTAGGGGATTTCACTGATTAAATTACACCGTTTATTGCATTTCTTTATTTTTCACAAGCCGCACTTACTCGTAAAATAACTTGCCGTAACGTTTCAGTGTTAATATAAAAATTAAAATTTATTTTTCCTATTTGCTACATCGGTTTTTTAAGATGGCGTTCAAAGGAAGTTTTATCAGTATGATGGTATTGTCAGTTTTTGTTTTGGCAATAGCTACAGGTAATTTATTCTTATATACTTTTACAAATATGTTATTTAAATAATGTAATAAAACCATATTTTAATGCGTATTTATTATATGATAATTTTGATGGTCGTTATAGTAAAAATCTACTTATGACTTAAATAATTTAAGGCTTTGATGGCAAACTAAGGGCTTTAATTTAAATGAGTCATAATGTACGTTTATTTAATTCTGCCGCCGTAGAGAAAAAGTTCTTTCTAATTTTCAAACTTAGTGGTCACGATCTAATCAAAGTTACTCAAGTCCTGGTTTCTTATTATCAGAAGATTTGATTTTTTCTGAACATGTAAGTTAAATTTGTTGTAAAGCTATCAGAAACGTCCGATTTTTAAAACGTACTGTTTCTAGTTTATAAATTCTGAATCTTTGTTAAGATCGATCCTAGAATTTGATTTAGTTTTTTGGAACTCTTTTTAAGTAGGTCTCAAAAATAAACTTAAAAGAACAAAGTCTGTTTCTATGCATGATTGCTCATAAAATAGGTATTCTTTTATTATAATTGTTGTTGTTATTATTCTTCTTTTTTTTTGTATTTCAGTCATTAACGGAGGTGAGTGTTATTATTACATTTTGCTTGAACCTTTACAAGTGAGTAATCCATTTTCCTGTATTAATTATTATATTTATCCCTCCTTAAAATCCTTAAAATATAAAGTGATTCTTATCATGCAAAATTCTTCTACGACATTGTTCTATTTTATGCTGTTTGGTGGAAAATAAAATATTCATAAATATTTAAGGATAATGAGATTATTTTAAGTTGAGCCTCACAGAGATTGAATATTTTTAGGCAAAACATTTTATTAAATAGTCGAGAAATGTCTTTAGACATTTTTTAATTCTACTACATTCGAATAGCTATTTAAATATTGTTAACCTAACCGAACCAGCAATTTTTTGTTTACAAAATAATAATTTATATAATATTTTTATTATTTTAATAATAATAATTTAATTTCTATCATTTTTTGAATTATCACAATATACTGACATGTATCAATAAGTATACCTAACCTATCCTAACCCTGTATATAAATATAATTTACTCACGGCTAACTGGAAAATAAAGTTCCAGGAGAGGAATTCTTGAGAGGATATGTGGAAGTAAGCGTAGAACTGGATGAAGGGGCAGAAGTAAATCAAGGAGAAAACCTGGACTTAACAAAACGCACCCTTGTGATCAACGGTGTGGGAAATCCAAAAGGTGTATTTGGAAATACAGATATGAACATTAAATGGTGTCGAATAGATGAAGTGTCTGTCAATGGGATAGCAATTATAGTAGTTAATGGAAACAAGGGAATAACAATCAAGTACAGTGAAGAAGGAGGAATCGCAGTAAATGGTCAAAAAATAGATGGATTCCAAAATATAAAAGGAAGGGGAAAAACTGTTTTAAAATCGAAAAGTAATTATTAACGAAATACTGTTATTTGTATGTCTTTATAATTGATGAACTGATAAACAAAAAAATTATTTTCTACAAAATATTGGTCTGAACATTGTTGGATCATATCACAAACGTATTAAGAAGTTATAGGAATTTTAGTGAGGTAGTAGTAGGTAATTTAAGTCCCGTTTTGTAAATAGTTAAACTATTATTCTTAGTTAAAAGATATAATTCATTTTTACACGTTTTAGACCAATACTTTCCTTATTTTTACTACAATAACTTTACGTTTACGTAGATAAGTAAATAATAATTTAGGTTAACTTTGCATTTTTTTATAATTATACGTTACTGTGTCCAAAATTTAATTAATTGAATATTATTTTTTAGAAATAAAATCTGTCGGTATGTATACTTCTACGTAGATAAGTAAATACTAAATAATATGTTACGTTACTGTGTCTGATATATTTAATTCACCACATATTTTGATTAAATTTATAAATAATTTGCCGAACATTTTGACCGGTCGATAACCATTTTTGGATAATTAGCTTCAAAGCTGTTAATGTTTAAATGAAATGTCAGGAAGGTTAGGTGGTGCGGTTGAGTAATGCGTGCAGATAAATATATCTCCACTCTTCCTACTCTTCCTTCCGTCCTAAAATTTAATATTTTAATAACTTTAAAGATAATTATCCAAAACAGGTTAATAACCAGTTAAAATGTTCAGTCAATTAGTCTCAATTCAAAAAGTCAATCAAATATGTATACGTTACCATTTAACGACTTTTTTTTAATATTTGTTTAAATTTCAGGTCGTGATTTGTGTAAGTAAAAAAAAATTATTGAAATGTTACAAAATTAAAAAAATTATTATTAAAATATTTAAAAAAACATTTGTATTAATTTCAGGCTGTTGTTTTTGTGAGTGTACTAAAATTATTGTACTTTTATCAAATTTAATCATTTAATAGTAAACAAATTAAAAAAAAAAATCATTTGTATTAATTTCAGGTTGTGATTTGTGTGAGTATACAAAAATGATTGAACTTTTATTAAATTTAATCATTTATTATTAAAAATAATTTGTATTAATTTCAGGTTGTGATTTGTGTGAGTATACAACAATTATTTAACTTTTATTAAATTTAATCATTTATTAATAAAAATATTTAAAAAAAAAACCATTTGTATTAATTTCAGCAATATTGAGTGAGTACACTAAACTTATTTTACTTTTATCAAATTTAATCATTTTCCGCTAAAACTACTAAACCGTTTTTAATGAAATAGACAATAAAATCATTCCAGATTTAGTCTTAGCCGGCGTAGTTTTAACGAGCTTAAATTATCTATTGATTTAAGTATAAATTAGGTTTTTTTATTAATTTTACGAGATTTTTTTTTAAGGTAATCATTGAGTAAGAAATGTAAACCTATATTGCTTTTACATAAATGTTTATTTTTCAGACTGCATGTGCGGTAAAGGTAACATAAATTATTTAAAATTATGTTTTTTTTTATTTATAATATTAAAATGTTATAAAATAATAATTCTAATATAATTAAGTATATTTTAAAAACTAAAATTATTGTACTTTTATCAAATTTAATAATTTATTATTAAACATATTTAAAAATAAGACAGTTCTTCTAATTTCAGGTATCACTATAGGAGATACGTCAGTTGTGAGTAATATCTATAATTAATAATTGTTTGTGTTATAATTTCATGTTTTTTAACTACAGGATACTATACAGCGTACAGGGCTACAGACCAGCACCGGTCTGTAATTCATCTTACTCAATTTTAAAAAAGGATTTTTATACTAAAATAGTACATATTGTAGGTAATTATGACTATTTTATAAATACCTCACATATTATTGTTAAGAGTAATAATTATCTGTTATGTGTTACACGAATTATTTATGTTTAAAAATATAATATTATGAATGAATTGTTTACAATCAAGTATTAACACTATTTATATGTAATCAACTTCAATCTATTAAGTTTCCATTAAAATGTATTTACACTTAGTAAAATAAAAATTTCCTTGAATATAATATTTATTTCATAACATAATTTATTTATATATACGTAATAATACATTTTGATTCCTATTAAAGTAAACCGGCCAAAAATTACACATTGCTCCTTGACTAAAACAAATGCGGAACAAATAAAATCTATTTGTTCCAGAAAAGTTCCTGTGAGAATAACTCAATAAAAAAAATAATATGTACTATAGTTAAAACTTATTTTTTTTATATTTAACTATCCGATTCTAAAAAAATTACTTATTTTTGGGCATTGGTATAACTGTGTAAACGATGTAAATTAAAATGACCCTTGAAGTCATGATGGTTATATTTAATTTAGTTTAATGGTGAGCATACGATCTATAAACCTGATAAAATTGCAAAATAAATAACTAATAACACTTTTAAAAACTCATAGAATACAATTTATCTGTAACGACAGTGAGTAAATGTGTAAGTAGATTTCAGTGATTTCACAGTGGAGCGATTTTAAACTTTGACCAGCTGCCATAAATCAGGATAATCAGAATTTCATTTAAAACATTAATTTTTTTTTATGATCCTCTTGTATTGATAAATACTTTAGAGGTACTCAAGTGGTTTCTTTTAAGTTTAAAATTGCTTCCTTGTAAAATCACTGAAATTGACTTACACACTTATTCACAGTGGTTACAGATATATAAAATTAGAAATGAAATTCCCTCCATCTGTTAAATACCTAATTCTTTTTCTTTAAATTCTAATGCTAGATCATATAGATTTATAGAAATAATAAAGTGCAACCCACCACGATAGAACTAGATGTTGGTAATTAATATAAATGCAGCTTAGTTTTAGTGCCGTAGAAATGCGTTTTATTTTTAATACGCGGATTTATATTTTGTTTTAAGTAATATCATTTTTTTAAATTTTGAATTACAATAGAAATGTTTAAAATTCGAAATCAAAACATGTTTTGGAACACTCTCCATATCGACAAGTTAATAAATGTTTATCCACAAAAACACAATAAGTGGATATATTGTATAAACAGGTAACATAATACAAATTGTTCAAAAGCTATTGTGTTCGTATTATTTTTAGTTTATTCCCATTTTACCTCTCAAGTTGAAATCGTGTTGTGGACATGGTTAGGTTTGAGACACCAAGTATACCAAGCTTCCCCAGAGAACTGGGTTCTTTTGTTTTGGTTTTAATTAGCTTAAAATGGAAATATGAACATGAGAGTATACATACTGCGTTACTTATGTTTTAACAATTTAGTTTTAATTAATATTATATTATATTGGGATCTGAATTAATTAAATACGTTTCATTTTTAAATTGAATAGATAACATCTATATTTATTAATATTAATATTCAAAACTATTAAACTAGTATAGACGAGGTTTACATATAGTTTTAATCGTGTTCATTTAACATTACTAAAATAAAAATGTATAATACAGAGTGGTCCATTTAACGCAAGACACTCATTTTCTTTAAACATAATTACAATTTTGTTTCTTTATGAAAACATTTTAAATTATGTTATTTTATAATATTAGAAAATATTCAAATTTTTTACAAGACGGAAGTTGGTAAGTTTTACAAAACTGTAGTCAGGCGGGCCATGCTGTATGGTAGCGGAGATGAGTATACTTAGGTGGATGAGTGGTGTGACGAGGGATAGGATATATTTAATTATTTTTTGTTTAAGAATACTTTCCTTAAAACATTTTGACTGGTTTCTAAATAGTTTAAGATTATAATAATCTGTACAGTATAAAGTTGTTAAAGTACAAAGGTTTAGGATCTTACCGGTGAAATGTAGTATTATTCTTATATGTACTCATCACTCAATCGCACTGACCTTCCCGTCCAATTTTTAAACTTAAATAACTTCAAAAATAGTTATTCAAAACCCGTTGTCGACTAGTAAACATTTTGAGCAGATTATTTTTAGTTTCGGAATTTAATTAAATATTGTTGCTCCTATTTAAGTCGCAAAAGTTGATAGCGTTTTGGAAAATACTAAAAAATGTTAATATTTTGTAATTTCATAATATATTTGGTTCACTAACGAAAACATAAGTACTTTCAATAAGAAAAACTATAAATTTGTTATTACTTTCTGAAAAAATGAGTGTCTTACGTTAAATGGATCACTCTGTATAGACGGCTGTAGAGGTTGATGGGTTTGTTTTTGGCGGAATATACTATGCTCTAATTGTAGGGGGAAATTATACACTGTGATTGGTTCATATAATAGTAATTTATACGTCCGATTAATGATGGGCGGGTACTGACATGGATGTAATTATAGATTTCAGGGAAGGTTAGTTGCAAAACTCGTCTGACTGTATATTGAAAAAATATACATACAAGCAGGATATTTAAATTTGTTGGAAACAATTTCAGAACAAAACTTTTTTGTTTCCTTATTGTTTGCCCAATGCTACAAATATTGTGAAACTATGTATTTATGAAAAAACTTAATGGGACACGGGAAAAAATATTTAATTGGTTCAGCTAAAATTATGATTTATATTATAGGGACACAATCAATTTTTAGTTGGAACAACTAAATGTTTATAGTTGGGCCAACTATGTATTTTAGCTTCGAAGCAAAGCAGAGAAGGTGTTTTTAATGTGATTCATAACTGTTAGAGACTTAAATTCATTAAAAAAAAAATAATAATTTCTTTTTTATAATCTTAGTATGTGACTAAACAATCAAGCATTTTATTTATTTTATTTTATATACTCGTATTTCAATTAGCAAAAAAAATTAATGAATTATCAGCATTTTTATTTTCAAAACAACAGAAAAAAAAAATGCGTCTAGTTCACTATGCTACAACTCCAGTTAAAAAAATGTATTAAGCTGAAATGTTATATTTACACTAGTAAGCAAGCAAGCAAAAAAATTGATTGTTTGAACATTTTTAATGGCCTGTTTTTTCCACCTAAATTTCATTTTCAGACCACTGTGCGTCAGTTGTATCAAATTTAAATTATACCCATTTCCCATTCCCCTAGGGGGATGTAAGTTTTTTGGGTTTTTTAGCCGTAGTTTTAAGACCTTTAAGTTGAAAATTTGCCAGTAGTTAGAACTCATATGTATCCACAACATATTAAACGAGGAAAAAATTCGGCACTACACTTACATTATCAATTTTTATTATTCAATAAAAACTAATTTGTCAAAATAACATAATTAACTGAATATGGATTTTATTAAGCCATAATTGATATAAAGTCGTTTTGAACAGAACTCTAATTTTTGCGGATTGACTGAATTTAATTTAAGTAACTCTAAATTGGCAGCCAATTTGTAAGAAATAATAACATGAGTTGATTATACTATAGATGTTCTAATTATCAATTTGACAGACCGAATAATCCTCGATCGTGACCACATTGTAAATTAGGTATGTAGATGATATTATGGCATTCATAAAGTGATAACTGATAAAAGTTTAACACAAAAATATTTGACTTTTTTTTGGAAAAGTGAAAACTAAAATAATATTGTTTATTGATAATCGGTTTTTTTTTGTTTGAGTAATTTTTAAAAAATATTATCAGTTTAAAAGATATTAAGTGTCCTACGTTAAATGTATCAATTTGTACATATCAAAATGGCTTACGCTGCGCCGTTTAGTTGCTACGAAAAATGATTGATTTCCCCAGTAAGCGTAAAGCGGTTTTTATGTGAACCAAAAAAACATGTTATTGGGAAACTTGTGTTTGATCAAACGTGTAGTGCACGTTATGACTTATATTATGTGCTCGTGTACTAAAAATGTACTATGAAATCTAGTTGTTCACTTACTATCAACTCTTTTACACGTTAATTCTGTCTTGATTTAGAAAAACAACCATATATTACATAGTATCTAACTATATTAATTTTTCACTGAAACACATGTCAATATGCTTCTTCTTCTTTATCTTCGCCTTACACTCCCAACTACATGGGCTCAGCCACCCTAGTTCAACACCTCCATAGAGCTCGGTCTACTACATCTCGTCCAATCACCCCCGCTATCATCATATCACTCTGTATTCCATCCACTCATCTTTTCTTTGGTCTTCCTCTTCCTCTTTTTTCTTTACATTCATCTTCATAATACCTCTCACTGCCTCTGTTTCATCTCTTCTCATAACATGACCGAACCATCTCAACCTATTCTCTCTCATTTTCTCCACAATTGATGCAACTCCTAGACTGCCCCTTATGTATTAATTTCTTATTCTATCTTCCCTAGTCACTCCACTCATCCACCTTAACATTCTCATCTCCGCTACACTCATTCTCTATTCCGTTTTCTTATCTAATACCCAACATTCCGACCCATATAACATTGCTGGCCTCACTACCGACCTATAAAATTTACCTTTCAATCTTATAGGCATCCTTCTGTCACACAAAACACCCGACGCTCCCCTCCACTTCATCCATCCAAAATTTATTCTATTTTTCACATTCTCCTCGTACCCAACATTTTTCTGTACCACCGATCCTGAGTACTTAAACCTATCAACCTCACACACTTCATCATCACCCATCTGCATTACCTGTCTTACCCTATAATCTTCTCCGAAATCAAACACGAATGTCTCCGTTTTATTCCTACTATCCTCAGTCCTTTCCCTTCAAGTGCCTCTCTCCACTCTTCAAGTCTCTCACCCAATTCTTCCCCAACTTTCCCCCACTAACACTACATCATCCGCAAACATCTTACACCATGGCATCTCCCCCTGTATATCTTTCGTAATCTCATCCATTACTAAAGGGAACAAGTAAGGACTCAACGCTGAACCTTAATGCACACCTACTCTTACACTAAAATCT